AAAGTGTTGCTAACCCCATGGTGTCTCCGGCTGAAGTCTGTCCAGCAGTATGGCAACTCCTTGTGCATTTTTTCGTTTGGGCCACTCACCTCCTAGAACCCCACATCAGCCTCCCTCGGCTGACACTCATGTATAACTGAAAAATTGTGCTCTACACTGAAAATTGATACAACATTGTAAACTGACTATAACTCAAAAAAAAAAATTTAGAAAATGAAAGAAAGAAGAATCAGATAACTGAAAGCTTATCTAGCACATACTGAATTCTACTTCGGGGAAGAGTGTGGTACTCAGCATTTAATGTGAAATTGATAATACTCCTGAATATAAACAAAAGACACAGGCATATGGAAACGCATCTTAAAAGAGGAAAGAATCCAGTCCAGCCTCTTCATTTTACAGGAAGGGAGACTGAGACCTGGGATCTGTCTTCCTGGCAATCAGCAGCAAAGCTCACCTAGTCCTCATGTCTTGCACTATGTCAAATGCCAACAGATCTGTACTAGGCCTATATTCATAAAAGTCACTTCTGCATTTTTCCAACAGTAGGTAATCTAAGTGTCTTGCAAAATAGTCTTCCCAAAGAGTCAGGAAATCATATCATTTTGTTGAAATGCAAAAAGATTAATTTTTGTATTAAAACAGCTTGAGCTTTATTCTCTCCATTTAAAAAGTGACATGTCAAATCAATGTTTTGATATTTTAAAACCTATTAAGAGTACAGAAAAAAATTAAAATTTTCTTCAATCACAACAGAGATAAGCTTATTTCCTGAAAATATTTAATGTTGATTTTTCTAAATTAATGATTCTGGTCATATTCCTACAAATTTAAAAATTCTAGTGGATGGTTACATGGCGATATGAATTCTGAGTTGTAACAATATGCATTCTGTGTAAATAATCTTCAAGGTCGTCTGCTTAAGGCAATTTAACGAGTCCCTATCTTACAAGAATGACATTGATTTCATCAAAACTTCATACTGCACTAAAAAACAACTGAATCCTTATTACTGCAAATCAAATTCATATATATCATATATATATACATATCGAATATGTATCAGAAATAAGCCATCCTCTTTAGTATTCAGAGCTGATTCTCCTAAGCTGTCATTGTGAAAGCACATTTTTTTTATTGAACACCTCTTGGGTGCTTTGTATACAAGGCGTCTAACTCTCACAGTCAAGACAATTTAAAAAACTACTCAAATTTCACAAATGAGGAAATGTCCTTAAGCCATTAATGGCAACTTACATATTCATCATCAGGAAAGAAAAGAGTCAAGATTTTAGTTTCATTATTCACTGACAATTTTTTCTTCCGTACTAAAACTACATAAAACCAATTCAGACTTTTTAAATTTTTCTCTCAATAAGCACCACTAGAGAAAAACAAGCAATGAGTCATTAGCAGTGGTTGGACTTTCAAAACTCACTTTTCTTTTGCATTATAATCATTTTTAATATTTTGTTTTTACTGCTTGCAGAACACTAGAATAAATAACAATAACTTTTTAAGTCATTAGCCGAGAATAAAACATTTGTGAAAATGTACAATTTTAATTTATGCCACTCTGTCTCACATTCTCACTGGTGTCTCACCTTTGAAGGCCTCATCAGGCTAAGATCATTAACATCGGTCATTTATGGACTCACAGGAGTTTGAGAAACCACTCAATAAGAGGCTGATTAAAGGAGCAATTAAGAATGCATCCTGTGCAGCCTGGGTTCCATCCCTGAGCCTGCCACCGCCAGCTGTGTGTGATTTGGGACAAGCCGCCCCATCTCTCAATCCCTCAGCTGCAGAAAAGGAGACACTGATACCTACCCTCAAACACGTGCTATGAAGTAAAACATGAGGAAAGCATTTTAGTCATTGGTCGGTGCCCATTCAGGGCGAATTTGGTCATTATGATGATGAGGATGGCTGTTAATGAATTAAGCTAGACCAAAAAGTAGAAATCACCATAAAGAAGAAACATTTTAAGTCAATAAGCTTTTCCTTTTGGATGGACTTCAGAATATTTTATTGATTTTTTTAATAAGCCAAGTATTGCCCATTATTTATAGACTTCCAGGTTCATGAACAAGTCTCAAGAAAAAGAATTAGAGGCCTTTAACCTCTGAATACTAAGAAAGTAAAGTTAAAAAAATAGGGGGGAGATTATACCTCAATTGGGAGAGCACGTGTTTAGCATGCATGAAGTCCTCAGTTCAGTCCCCAGTAACTCCATTTAAAAACGTTTTTTGAAGAAATGGAGAATTAAAGCACAAAGATGGAGGACTACAGAATTCTTTTGCAGACTCAACTCAGATTTAAGTTGGGGAAAAAGATACCCTTTTCTCAGAGGAAATCTTGAAAACTTTGTAAACTGGATCTGAGATGTCAGGTCTTTCAACATTATTCATGAATTCATATTACCAAGTCTTAAAACTACCTGATAACCCACAGTGGTGATACTGATCATAATCACAGCTGCCAACACGGTTCGAGCTCTGGCTGGGACTGCTCTGTTCTGACATCTCTGCCACTGAGGCCTCACCAGGCTGAGATCATTAAATCCAGTCATTCATGAGCATCTTGTGTAAGTCCTCCATTTGTGCTTCTAACTCCCCCCTCACCAGCCACTCTGAGGGAAGCACTGTTATCATTTTCTCTACCCACAGATAAGGCCACTGATGCACAGAGACTAAACCTGCTTCAGGTCACATCGGCATAAAAGGATGTCTGTATTTCTGCTGTTTTGATATTGACAAAGGAATCTAAGATATCAACTCATGAGAGACTGTTAAATAATCAAGTCTGTCTGGTCTTCACCTCAAAGACCAGATACTATAAATTCCTGATGTAGGATGAGGCTGCCGCCACAAACTGACTCAGCTTGTAATTAATATCCAAGACTGAAGCAGTGGATACACGTAAATATTCACGAGTGTCAACTCCGTTCACGTGTCTGGGCCCTTCACTGACTGAGCGGGGGTGAAATCCCCACCCGTGTCAGGGAGGGAAGCGCGGCTCTTCCGGTTCTCACCCAGGCTTCACGGGCTATTTCCCCCCACAGACTGTCCTCAACGATTAAAAAGCTCTCAAGACTTTTACACCATGCAAAACTAAAAGATATTTCTGCAGATGGAGCACTTTCTCAGGCTTAAACCTTTTTTGCCTACACTTAGCAAGGGGGAGAAAGAAGTATGACTCTGTAAAGTCTCTGAGTCTCACCACTCACACGAGTAGAACGGCCTCAGCACAAGATGACCCTTCACATTGCAGGGTGAGAACAAAATAAAGCTGCCCCAACAACAGGCACTCCCAGAGACAGCGCTAAGCAGTCTTCTGCACACTCACGGTTGTGCAGCCCTCACCACCATCTATTTCCAGAACACACCATCATCCCAAAAGAAACCCCCTGTCCACTAGTAGTCACTCCCCATCCCCCCTCCACCCAGATCCTTGCAACCAACACCTGCTCTCTGCCTCTGCATGTGCCTATTCTGGGCATTTCAAATCACTGAAATCAACAATATGTGGCCGTTTGTGTCTAGTTCCTTTCACTTAACATGCTGTTATCAAAGCTTTTCCATGTTGAAAAGGTATCAGCATCTTTTTTTTTTTTGAAAATGTTAAATTTTATCAGAAGGTGGTAAGTACTATCAAAAAGAGTAGAGTGGAGTATAAGGGGTGGGGATTCAAAAGGAAAAGGGCGGGTTGAGCAGTCAGGGTGGAGTTCCAAGAGCAGGTGGCCGTTTTCACCTTCCCCCCTTTTTTCCTTTTCACTTTTTTCATTCTTATATCTGAATAATATTCCACTATATGGAGATACTACCTTCTGTTCATCAATTTAGCAGCTATATATGGATGAGGTCCGGAATAATATGCATCAGAAGTGACTAACAGTGATGTCATTTAAGCAAAGGGCAAGATGTGCTTTTAAAAAAGGCCAACAAACAGAAGCACAAGGAAATTCAGTGTATTTCTGAGAAAGTGCATGCTTGTTTCAGAAGGGCTGCTGTGCAGGGATGTGAGGAAGTGTGACAGGATACACAGTGAGGGAGTCATCTGAGAAGTTTCCCCACTGCAGGAAGCTCAGACAATTCTCCTCCCTCATCCAGTATTTTAGAGCCATTTTTATGGGTTTCCTCTTATTTCAAGTAACAGCACTTTAAATACACATCTGATCATCTGCATCAGATCAACTTACCTCCAAGCCACAGAAAGTCATTCACTGTCTGGAACAGCTCCAGGACAAATGGTGATGGACCAGGGAGTCCTACAGCATCCCGGCCAGGTGACGTCCAGAAAGTAAAATGGACAGAAATGTCTCACTGCTGGTGCACGACGTCTGCCCCAAAATTGCCCCGAAAGCATGCTGGCAAAGCACTACTCAACCCTCTCACTACAAAAAAAAAAAAAAGCAAAGAAGGCAAATTTAGGCTCTGCCATTGAAAACCAGCAACCATCACTGTCAGTAACT